TGGCCGCCGTCTTCTCCATTAAGGCTTGTAATTCCTCTGCAGTCATCTAGATGACCGGCGCTGAAGATTTCGCAAGGTTGGCCGCTCCCGTCGTTCTCTTCCTTCGAGGCGGCTCTATGACTCCAGCGTTACCTTGAAGCGATTGGTTGAGATCGCCTTGACCACCTTCGATGGACGTTTCCGTAGTTCTTTTCCTTCTCCGCAACTTTGAGACTCCACTACTACCTTCAAGCGGTTGGTTGGGATCGCCTTGACCCTCTTCGTTGGCCGCTCTCGTAGTTCTTTTGCTTCGAGGCGACTCTAAGACTCTGCCGCTACCTCGAGGCGGCTCTGAGACTCCGTCGCTTCCTCGAGGTGGTTGGTTGGGATCGCCTTGACCCTCTTCGTTGGCCGCTCCCGTAGTTCTTTTGCTTCGAGGCGGCTCTAAGACTCAGCCGCTACTTCGAGGCGGCTCTGAGACTCCGTCGCTTCCTCGAGGCGGTTGGTTGGGGTCGCCTTGACTCTCTTCGTTGGCCGCTCTCGTAGTTCTTTTGCTTCGAAGCGGCTCTAAGACTCTACCGCTCCTCGAGGCGGCTCTGAGACTCCGTCGCTTCCTCGAGGCGGCTCTAAGACTCTGCCGCCTCTAAGACTATGCCGCTCCTCGAGGCGGCTCTGAGACTCCGTCGCTTCCTCGAGGCGGCTCTAAGACTCTGCCGCTACCTCGAGGCGGCTCTGAGACTCCGTCGCTTCCTCGAGGCGGTTGGTTGGGATCGCCTTGACCACCTCCGTTCATGACACGCGATCTAGTTTGCATTCCCACAGACGGCGCCAAAATGATGCTGCTCCAAAATGTTGGGTCAGCCCAATGGTCTTGAAGCCCACAGATCTCCTAAGTCCGAGAATCTTCAAGCCCAATATCGGGAATGCCAAGAGTTCTTGCCACGCGTCCAAGGTAGTCGAAGGGATCGCTCCACTCGTTAACCTACAAAACAATTGAAAACACTAGATGACACGCCGGGGGTGGCCCCGAGACGCTCAAGTCAGAAAACTATCACAATATGAAAAATTAATATTATTTAATTGCCTAAATAGTGCGTACCTTGTTATGCGATTGATAACACATATTTATAGGTGGAGTTTGGTATGGTTTTCTTGTAGAAAACCAATGTGGGACAAAAAACATTAGCGTTCTTCCCATAAGTTTCTTATGAAGTTCTTAATTATGGGCCTTTGTGCTGAGCTTTTCCTTGTAATGAGCCTCTTGGGCTTTTGGAGTAAAGCCCAATTAGGCACATCAACAATATTAAGCAAAAGGTAAACATTAGAGACCGCCATGCCAAATCCACCCTTATATTTCAATATACAGTATGATAGAGATAGGAAGGGGATAAAACTTTAAACTTTGGTGGGGTAAAAAAGAAATTGTGTTATTCCGGATTGCTAATTAAGAGATGAAATTTGCTTTCTAATATTAGCAAAAAAAACCTTATGCGAAAGTATTTTTTAGAACATAATCATCTATATGGTGAATTTTTAGGGATCGTTTGCTAAAAAACAATAAATCATAAAAGGTGTTTTTGCTAATGAAAATAACATATAATTTTTAACCATCATAAATATAGAGGTGTCAAATGCTATAAATCAATTTTGAAGAGGTGTATTTAAATAAAAGATTATCCATCGAAAGGTTAAGAAAGTAAAATTTTATAATTTATAAGGTAACGAATTATAGTGTAATTTGAGAGTTTATAAGGGCGGAATTGAAAAATCTATAATTAATACAATAATGAAATTGTAAGGTGATAAATAAAATGAAACAATAAATTTTCTTGTGACAAATATTGTGCAATCAAGGGGGTATTCTCCAGTACCTATAAGAGCAACTTTAATGGAAGAATAAAATGGAGGATAAAATGATAATACTATAATTTTGATGCCCAAAACTCCAAAGTCCTCCTCCATTGGAGACATCAAAGGGTTCTTTGTTGTTTTTTTATTTTTTTCGTCCCACGAGGGATGACCTAGCGTTGTACTAAGTGAGTTCGTGTCATGACTCAAATTTGATTCTCTTTGTCAACAGTTGCTAGGTCGAGTTTGTCATACATGGTTAGTCTAATGTGATTTACGTTTCTCGTATGATTTACAAGCTATTATACGGGAGTTTAAGTTTACCCAACACACCTATATAGTTGGCTTCCGGTTCCTTCATCTGTAAAGAAAGTTCAAAATTAAATGGATAGTTTTTTGATACTTCATCTTATAGAAGTGCAAAAATGCAAAACACAAAAAGAGTAATCAAATATTCTTAGAATTAGCTCTTTCCATTTCAACGGGCAAACAAGAAAAAATCTCAAAATATTGCAACGAAAATTTGATAATAATTTATTTAACACATACTGGTTTCAGCATATGAATTTTTCAAAAATATCAAAATATTATCTCAAACATCAATTGAGTGATCCATTTCGATACCTTCCCATTGGAGTTGCTGTAACCATTTCTCGTTTGCTTAGCCAATCAACATTGGGCGCTAACACGCCGTGTAGACTGGTTCAATATTTATACAAGTCAAAATTGACTTTGGCCACAATGGGTGAAAAAGGCCTTTAAGGAACTATCCAAGAACTTTCTTCTGATGTAACATATACTTCTATTTTTTATTGCCTAATTACATTGAGTTGATTACTATATAATTTCATAGCGACGACTAAGTCAAACTATTAACTTGACCAAAAAAAAAAAAAAAAAAAGATTATATACAAATTCTTCTAATTGAGATTAGTCCAAGTCCAAATGTGTTGTTGCTGCAATTAACAATTTTGTAATATTTATAAATATTAGTTTTGAAGTTTAAAATTTAAAATTTATAAGATTAATTTAATAAGCAATGCAAATAAATCAAGAGAGTAACGTGTTAGGCAAAAATATTCTTCATCTAGTTTATGTTATTTTATCTCCGTTTTAATTGGAGAATATTCCACATAGTTTAGAGCATTCTACTAAATTTGACACTATAAAATTGAACGGGTAATAATACTCATAATAGAAAGGGTGGTTGTAATTATTCAAACATGTGAGGGTTTTACATCAGAAGTGGCAGTAAGTTACCTTATCTATATTATGTCATGTGTGTCTCATTTGCTTGTTCCTTGAATCCACACTCTTCTTGTTTGGTTTTTTTTCCTATCATTGTCCCACTTGCTGAAATTAAAGTTTGGAAAATTGGACAATTTCCTTCGACACCAAAAAGTCAAACTCAAATCCCAAATAGTCAAAGTCTACCCTCACAACTTTCAAGTTATATACCTATAAACATATTCTCCAATTCCCCCTTCAACCTTTATAAACACATCCCTTTATTCATTCCAAATATTTCATAGCATAAAAAAAAAAAAAAAAAAAGGCAGTATGGATAAAGAACAAGATGAAATCCAATTCCTAGGTTTTTTTGGCATACTAAAAGAATCATGCACTATAGTTTCATCATGGAGAAAAATCTTCACTCAAATTACAATATTCTTGATTCTCCCTCTCTCCTTCATATACCTAGCCCATAACCAAATCTCCAAAATACTCTTCACACAAATCGTTGACAATGAATTTATGCTCCTCAAATTTTCAAAGGGCTCAAAATCCTACAATAAAATCGACAACACGTTAACCACCGAATGGATGACCTTCTGGCTCTTCAAGATCGGGTACTTGTTATTCTTCGTAATATTATCCCTTCTCTCAACATCTGCAGTCGTTTACACGATCGCGTGCATTTACACCGCAAAAGAGACAACCTTAAACAAAGTCTTATCTGTGGTCCCCAAGGTTTGGAAGAGGCTTATGATTACATTCACTTGGAATTTCGTCTTCGTTTTTGTGTACAATTTTCTATGTATATTAATATTTTTCTCGATAGCGCTAATCTCCGGAGTCGATCATATGGGCTATATTGGTGGTATGGCTTTTGTACTCGTATTATCTATTCCATACTTCATGGGACTTCTCTATATTACGATGATATGGCATTTGGCAAGTGTGGTTTCCGTGTTGGAAGAGAGTTATGGGCTAAACGCAATGAGGAAAAGCCGGGGTTTGATCAAGGGCAAGATGGGAATTTCCGCTGCGGTTTTTGTTGTGTTGGGTTTATCTTTCTTTGGGATTCAACATATGTTCAAAATTCACGTGGTTTTCGGACATGAAGGAATTGTGAAAAGGATTGTGTACGGGATTATTTGCCTTGTTTTGCTATCGATTTCTATGCTATTTCAACTCATTATGGAGACGATTGTTTACTTCGTTTGCAAGTCCTATCACCACGAAAATATCGATAAGTCATCGTTAGCGGATCATCTTGGTGGATATCTTGGGGAGTATACTCCTCTACAGCATAAGGATATTCAGTTCGAGGAATTTTGAGGTTTGATGATTAATTAAAGTTTTTTTTTCCAAAGTTTGTAATATGTAAACCAAAATAGTTTTTAATAATCCATGGTGTGGGCCACTTTGTTAAAACCAATATATTTGTTTGTTGTATAGCAGTGGATCAATCGTGAGGTTGTTAAATGGGTCTAATTTGATTGGATTTGTAAGATAATAAGATGGATATAAATTCGATTTTTCTAGGGTGAAATACCTCATGTTCATATCTCACATCATATAACCCCAAATCAGTTTACTTTTAGTAAGTTGGATCGGAACCATTAAAAAAAAATACACACTTATTAGCTTCGGAATTAATGAAGGTTGCGGCTATATGCAAGACTAAAACCATTTGTGCAAGACCAAATTAAAATTTTCAATGTATAAATACTATAATATCCTTACTTGTTAAAAAAAATAAAAAATTCAAAATGTGCAAGACCAAAAATTCAAAAACACAAAAAAACCCTATCACAAGACCTCAAAACCACAAGACCAACTCTCATCTTCTCCATCTTCCAAAAACCACAAGACCTTTCTCCTTCCTCCTCCATAAACCCACAAAACCGAAACATTCAAAATCATCATAACTCAACAATCTTACAAAGATGGAAAGTATGGAGTTAGAAGACATCAAAATAGAAGATTCTACGGTCGAAGAACCCAAACAGGTATGCATTTATGGGTTTTAAGCTAAAATATCATTTTTCCAAAAAAAATCCCGCGCAAACGAATTCAACATGTACAGGTCGAATTTGATGGGTAAAAATTGACATTTAGATGTCGATTTTGAGGTATCAAATTCGACATTTGGCACTGCCGATTTCTGCCTGTAAAATTCGACGCTTAAGTGTCGATTTGTAGCGTAGTTTTTCGACACCTTGGTGTCAATTTTTACCAGTTTCAAATTTAATTTGTTTTTCCTCTTTTTTGTAAGGTTGAACAAAATGAAGAATTATCAATTGACTACTCTAATGAATTCATCAACCACGATACATTTGCAACAAGGGATGAATTGCTGAAATGGGTGAGAGAAGTGGGTAGACGTCTCGGAATGGTCTTTACAATCATGTCATCAAATTCTGGACTCAATCGACGTAGAACACCTTATATGGTGCTTGTGTGTGAGCGTGCGGGTGAGTATCGTGACACTAAGGTACCTGGTAAATTTGAAACTGCAAAACGAAAAAGAAGTACGAGGTCAAAAAAATGTAATTGCCTTTTTTAAATTAAAAGACACCAAATTGGGCATGGATGATGACAATGTTGGATGGAAGCTCGAAGTTGTTTTTGGCATTCATAATCACCCATGTTTTCCAAATTTGGAGGGCCACGCATATGCGACAAGATTAACAAGCGAAGAGATGAAAATTGTAGAAGAAATGTCAAATGCGTTGGTGCAACCAAAGGCAATACTTACTACATTGAAGAAGAGGGATGAGACAAATGTAGCTGAAATAAAGACAATTTACAATGCTCGTCATAGGCTTCAGGCGATAGAGAAAGCCAGTAGATCTCAAATTCAACTTTTGATGACGAAATTGTCCGAACATAATTACCTTGAGGATCATAGATCGAACGAAGATGGTGAAGTCACTGATTTGTTTTGGAGCAACCCTACTTGCTTGGCCTTAGGGCGTAGCTTTCCCTACGTGTTACTTATGGATTGCACGTACAAAACTAACCGATACCCATTACTGGAGATGGTGGGCGTTACTTCTACGAACAAAACATTCTCCATTTCCTTTGCATACTTGCAATGTGAGAAGGCAGACAACTACGAATGGACATTGAGGACCTTGGTGCAGAAGATGGGAGGGAGTCATAGTCCTAATTAATTGTATCGTCACTGATGAAAGCTATAGCTCTTGTGTATCCAACCAGTCATCATTTGCTATGTAGGTGGCATGTTAACAAGAATATTCTTGCTAAATGTAAAAAAATGTTCAAAAGGGAGAAAGAAAAATGGAAGCGGTTTGAGACAAGTTGGGCAAATCTTGTTGAGCAAGAATCGAAGGAGTTGTTTTATGTGGAATGTGATTTAATGAAACGAAACTTCATTGATTTTCCGAAGGCTCTATCTTACGTAGCTGACTCGTGGTTGGACCCGTACAAACAGAGGGTTGTATCGGCATGGACAGACAAATATATGTACCTTGGAACATACACTTCTAACAGGTAATATTTTTATTATATGACTTGACATACACGTTTTTATTATATAATAACTCATAATATATTTATACATCTTGTAATATATGATAGGGTGGAGGGTACACATTCAAAGATTAAAAAAAATATGATGTATTCATTGGGGAACTTCGTTACTTTGTTCAACCATATTGATAACGTCTTGATGTTGCAACAAATTAAAATCAAGGCTTCCTTTGAGGTTAGCAGAAATACATACCAACACGACTTCAAGATACGGCTTTACAGTGAACTTTTAGGTTTTGTGTCGATGCACGCCCTTGAGTTGATCAAAAGTGAGGTGGACAAATCACGTGAGTTGTCCGCTCAAGTTGAAGTGCCTTGCAGTTGGAATCTCCAAACAACTCGCGGATTACCGTGTGCACATGACATCCACGAGATTAATATGAAGTGCATTCCCATTCCACTTCAATGCATCGACAAACATTGGAAACACTGAAGTATGGAGCCACGTGAAGGTGCAAACGAAAAAGAGTATGTGGATGATACTAATGATTTAGCATCATTTCATAAAGTATTTTTGACGAAGAATTCAACATAAATACGTCAAATGTTTCGTCAGATGCGAGAAGTTTATTGCCCCGAGACAACTTCTCTTAAGGAACCAAAAGAAAAGGTTATTACTAGAGGTCGTCTGGGAAAGAAAGTCGTCCGGGATAAATCAACTCTACCGATCAAAATCTGAATTTGAATATATTGATGACTTGAATTATGGTTCTTCTCCACAGGTAAATTTTTGTAAGACTAATTGCTCTTGATTGATATTACGTTAACTTAGTTGGCATCATGATCAAACTGTAGGTTTTGACTCTAACATCAGGCACTGCGAAGTCTACAACAAAAAAGACAACAAAAATGTCAGCTAAATCCTCCGTCACGAGAAAGGTACGGACAACATTTGTGATTTCATGAAAAAATATGAAACAACTAGATTTCGACATTAAGGTGTCGAATATATTTCCCTAAATTCGACACCGTAATGTCGAAATTTAGTATATTGGGACTAATTACAAATAGTTAAATTTCGACACTAAGGTGTCGATTTTGTATGCATAAACTCGACACCTTAGTGTCGAAATTTAACTGTTTCATATTTTTTTTAACTTTCTATTTTCCAATTACTTTTTATTTCAATATTCATTTTTTTATAGCAAAAGGCGAATGCGAAGACGCAGTTTATTGTCCAAATTCATCCAATGTTTCAAGAATATGTACAAGACATCAAGAACGTCACATCAGATGGTCATTGTGAATTTCGGGCGGTTGCATCTATGGTAGGATTGGGCGAACAAAATTGGGCACAAGTAAGACGTGACATGCTCACTGAACTGAAAAGGAATAATGACATTTACATGAAGATTTACAAAGTAAGGGCCACCATAGAGGAGTTGGTAGCTATATTGGACTGTAGGG